GGGGACACTTATTTCTGAGACAACTGTCTAAGAAGGGAATTCCCCTTACTTTGGGCAATTTACTCTAACTTCCTGTTGGGCCTCTGGAGCTGACGTGAAGGGAAATAAACTGATGGGTTTTAACTACACATACACAACATTCAGGCAGCTAGCACCTTGAGGAGGTCAATAGTTATAGCTTATACATTTCTCATATGACAGGTTTTCTTCAATCAGTGTCACTGTCTGAGACCAAATCATGCTTTACAGGGACTGTTTCCATTTGATTTCTTTATGACAAATACTCCCTGTGGTCTTTACTATACAGTATATGTCTTTCATAGCAGATTGTCTGCAAGACTGGGAACAGCAAAGGGGACATTTATCTCTAGTACATCAATATGATGTTTTTCAGAGGCTTATCATATGCTTTTATGCATGTGCCATACACTTGTCCACTTATATTGGCTTTCTCAGAATATCCTTCATCCTGTGGTTACTGCTTTTAATTTCCATAAAGTTTAAATGGGTTTCCTATTAGAAAGTCTCTGCCAGCGTCCTTTCTTTCCTTATAATCGGGAACAGTGTCATTATGTATGGGAGGCGGACTGAAGTGCAGCCTGCAGTGAATAATGTAATCGAGTAATGATGCCGTTTGTGCCACCGGTAGTACCTGGCTAATAGCATTTCATGCTGTTGCTCTGTATTCAAGGAGTACATTTATATTCATGGACATAATACCAAGAAGAAAGATTAATCCGTAACTCCCAAAAGAACCAACACAAGATGAATAGCCTCGTTTCAGTAGTTTTAGTGTAGCTTGCAGATCTGAGCCTGTTACTGATAAGTCTTAGTAATGTGAGGGAAATTAAGATCTTAAAGCAATCCCGTATTGAGGGAAATATGTAGGTTTCCCATCGCTGTCCTCTTCTTCTGAACATACTAGTTGCCTGGCTTGCTGGTTAGTTACTGCAATGCTTTCTGAATCATTGGCCCAGAACAACTGTTCAGATCAAAAGTTCCCATTGCACTTGATGCATGCGTGTTCCAGACCCACAAAGTAATTGAGAGCCAGGCAACTAGAATTTCTAGAAGGGAATCCTGGACTGATGTGCCTGCATATATCCATGTACATTAAGCGTTTGCACTTCAAGAAAAAGATGACTTATTGAATTTGCCAGACTTTCCTAATTCACAAATGTATTCAAGTCACAACGCAAAACCCCTTTTGTGAGCACGCTCTGGCTGAAGCAGCTTTTCCCTGATTGGCAGAATGCATTTCAATTCAGGAAAGTTAAATCGAGGAACCTTTAGTTCCCTGGAGCTAGTAGATGTCTCGCTAAAGGGGGCTGTACACCAGTAGATTTTCGTACGATCATCCAAATTAAAAATGTAATCAGAACATTCGATAATGCCATCAGAAGCTTGCGAATGTCGGTCAAAACTTTGGTTTTAAAGTGACTCTATACTCAGGAGTTAAATCTTAAATATACATTCAAATCCCTTAACTATTAACAACAATATAGCATATTTGTGTATCACTGGGCTGTAGATCCTGAAATCATCTCTGAATTGGTGCTGACACTGTCCTTCCTTCTGGAGGGTGGCTGCTTTTCATCCACATGGTCCCTGTGTGTGTTGTAATGTCGGCACCACTCCAAGCTCACTCCTGCGATGGACTCCACTCTCACTTTTCATTTCCAAATTTGTATTGGTGTCACATTAACATCTGATTTTAGAATTGTTTGAGCTTCACAAAGGAAATCCACATTCACTGTTAGAATTATGTTTGTTTCAAGAAAAATAATTACATCCTGCGCCTTAACATTTTTTCGTCATTATGCTTAAAATACATCATCAGTTTGACCCCATTAACTATTAGAAAACTGAACAAACATTCCAAAATCAAATTTCTTCAAACAAAATTCTACTAGTGTATGACCAGCTTAATTCCCTTTACCACCTTCAGCTTCTATTAAATTTAGCAAAGAGCAATGTGTAAAGGGCAGTAGGAGCGCTGCCTGCAAGGAGTTTGTATATCATTTACTTTTCCTGCAGATGCTCTGCCTTTCTCTGAAACATAGTGGTATTCTTTTACCCAAATGTCTCTGTGATCAACTGTAGAAGGGATATTAGATTGTAAACTACTGATGTGAAAAGTTGTCTGTAAAGAATTGTAAAATTTGGTGTGCTATGCAAATCGAAAAAAGAATAAGACATGTAAGTACCATTTTTAGTAGTTCTAACTGTTCTGATAAAAGGTGAACTCCATTTACAGTGTTCGTGCACTTTACGTGTCTTCGTTGCTCTTTTTACTGTCTTGTTAAATTTGCTTGTTTGTTTGTTTGTTAGGATAACCAGCAATACTGAAATGCAAATATTTACAAGATTACTTGAGGATTTAATACAAAAGAAAATCTTTTAGCAGCCAAAAGTTGGGTTGCAGCAGCCCCTAGTGGGCACTCGCTGAAACTATAAGATGATATCTATAGCTTACAAATGTATTATACAGCAGGGTGCCTTCAGTGTTGAATGGAAATTCTGCAGTTTAATATGTGTAGCTTGAAACTGCTGGTGTTTATGCTGCTGCTGACTACCAAATGTTCATTACCTTGCAGAAAATTGATATTCTGCAAATATAAATTTATTGCTGCTGTTTGTTGCGGAAACATTGGTGATTAAGTTTAGAAGAATCACCAGTGCGCTTTAGGCATGCTTACCACGTTTGTCTATAAGCTGGAATAAGCTTCCATTCAGTGCACAGTGATGACCTTTCTCGGAATCTGCTTGACGAGAAGTGGAGTATAGCACCACTTGAAGGCTCACTGACCATATGACGCACCTCTGCCTTGTTTTTTAATTAAGTTTCTAAGGCAGGACGGTGCTGTGCTAGAAAAAGCCAAGTAGTGTTAGATCAAAGCTCCTTCGGGGGCCCTTTATAAACAGTTGATCAGGAATATACAGAGCTGTGGTACCCTTGGTGGTACTTGGCGGTTCTTGGCAAACCACTGATAACAGAAATACACATAGTTCTCCTGCAGGTTATTATTGGGTCCTGTATGTAAACCTTGCAGGGTTTCCAAGAAAGACTAAAAGTACTCTTCAGCAGCTAGTAGTAAAAATGGCCCATAGAAACCATCAACAAATTACAATAAAATCAAAAGCACCGTGATAAATCCTGCAAACTGGATGATAAAAGCAAAGGAATTATCTGATTGTGTAAATAACGGATTAAAACCAAAAACATTTTTTTTTCTTATTAAAACTATCAGTTGGATCTTTAAAACCTTTAAACTTGGACACTTAAAATTCAGATAATCTAATTGGAAGGCAGGTTTGTCAATGAGGATCCGGACTTAATCCCATTTGGCATCAGTATAGACAGGCGCTTTTGCACAAGCACCTGCAGACATGGCCGGGTTTAGAACTTGGTGGGACCGGGCAACTTCGTGTTTGATGGCCCCTAATAGACAGGTATTAAAATGCACAACAGATCACCAAATTTACACATCAAAGTGTGGATATTGCATGTTATTATAACTGTCAATTTATACATACATGTATAGGTAAATTAGTTATATATTTGACATAAATACTTGTCACCTAAACTCCAATTATTTTTGGTAAGACAAAGAACATATTTATGCTGCTAAGTACTCTTTACTTTTAGGATGTTTTTCTCTGGCAAGTTTTTGCTAATCTTTGGCATTCCTGAGCTGAAGGGCAAGTTGTAAGGAATTAGATCAACTGGTCGGAGATACTATATGTGGGTGAACTTGTATTAGTTAATGCACAATGGAACTGATTTTTTTTCTTAAGTGCAGTTTTCAACCTTTTCACCTACATTTGACTTACATTTGACATCCTTATAAGCTGGATCAACCTGCTTCGAGGCCTTTTGCATTCCCAATGACTTTTATGGGAAAAGAAGCTGTTTTGAAGCAAACATAAGCCCATGATGGTAAACAACTGATGATTTGCAGATGACCACAGAAATCTGTGCAGGCACAGATCAACTATGAGCACCCAACATAACATGGCTTAAAGGCCTGTCATAACCATAAGTTTAGGGCAGACATAGAACTAACTAAGGCCTGGTAAGTATGTCAATCAGAGATCATTTTACCGCTTGCAAGGTAAACTCTGTCAATATAGCTGTGACAATAGCAAATTTAGGCTGGAGAGATGGGAAAATCTGTAAATCTCTTCAGGAGGCTGTACATTTTTGATTGGGTAAATGAGGATTCAGGTGAAAGAGCATTTCTTGCACCTACAATTATTTTCTCATCCTTACACTCCAATAAAAAACGGCTTTCTGGAAAAATTAGGTACCATAGGCCATAAAGTAACTCACAATGTTATGCCATGCTTCCAACAGTCACAACTTCACCATAGTGTAAAGGCCCATTCAATTCAACAAGTCAAACTCAAAAGCAGTTGTAAGGGGGTCTTCTTGTAGGGCAGTTTGTCATTTCAAGCCTGATGAAGAGGACCCTGTGTGTCCCGAAACGTTGCTATTTATTTTGACATGAAGCGTCAATAAACAGACGTGTTCTTCACTTCAATATGGTGTGCTGGTGACATCTTTAACAAGTTTCAGCATTGGCGGCGCCATCCGTGGCCACTTCGAGCACCCACGCTGACAGGGATACCCGGTAAGGAGTGCAGCAGGATTCTGGAATACATATGTTCTTGTAGGGCAGAACTAAGATTTATTTTGAGGCTACCCAATCCCTGTACTGTGCTAAATATTTTGCAATGTTCTGTTTTTATATGCATTTTCATTGCGTTTTTTTCTTCTACTAAACAAATATTGTACAGTTTGCAGTTTTATTTTGTTAAACCTTGAATCTTTTGGTTATAATTTGTATTGCGTATTAGCAGACTTGATGAATAAGGTACCTGAATCGCAAGAAAATTGCAAAAGTATTGTTAAGAATTTCCTTGAAGTTGGCCTTATGTCACCTGTGTATCATTTGTGTTGAAAGCAGAAGGTAAAAAAACATATTTTACATTTTCAGGTTGCTAAACTGTGCGGTACTTCAAAACAAAGGGTGACGCGGTCAACACGCAATGGAGTGGATGTGTATGCTGGTAAAAAGGTATTCAAGGCCAATGCAGACAATGGGGAAACGCTATCTGGAAAAAGGAGGTATATGAAAAGCTATTTGTTCCTCTTTTTTCATGTCAGCTTAGCCAGACAGCATGTTATATGCAATTCCAGTGCCTTTCAACTGAATAGTTAATGCAGATTGTCAGGGTCGGGCTAATTTGTGGATAGTGGTTATCCGCAAATACCAGGCAATATGCCAGACCCAATCTTCCTGGTTTTAAATCTTTTCTTTTTTTATGAAAAAATTGTATGCCTCCCAGAATGTTACCAGGCTAGCAGTCCTAGTGGCTCATATTTGCAAACAATTTTGGATTTCCTAGGTCAGTCCCCCTTTTTGCTGTCCCTCCCTTCTGTGTCCTGGGGCTTATTCCGGGAGCAGGGAAGCTGACTGAGCCTGTCACTGCTCATCCCAGCCTCTGCACGCCGTCTCTGCACTGAATGAGCCTCCGAATTTACATATAAATGATCAGCAAGATCTACATATAAATGAGCCATGATCTACATTTGAGTTAGCTACATCTCATTATTATGTAAATACCGCAGCTTGTTCATAAGTAGATTCCATGGCTCATTCATATATAAATTTTGCCCTGGAAGTCCTACCCACCATCACCACCAGTAAAGGCTCCCCAGATAAAGGGATGTGAACAGTCAGACGGGAGTCCTTCTTGCATTGCTGAGACATAGCTGAGCTTCCCTCTGCACCTCACTTCTTTGCACCACATCCCTACTTAACTTTGCACCCTAAACCACCCTGCTCAATTCTGCACCCCATCTACTACCCCCGCTCATCTTTGGAGCTGGGTTTAGACTGAGCAAAGAAGTGGGTGCAGAAGTAAGGAGAGAGAGGGGTGCTTTGGTGAGCAGAGAGGGGTTGGATCAGGATGTAGAGGTTTGCAGAGGGGAGGGGGCGCTGACCACATTAGTGGTCAGTGTAGAATCTCCTCCTTACATTGGTGGTCATTGTAGAATCCCTCCTTTCATTGGTCCTCAGTGTAGCATCCCCCCTTACATTGGGGGTCAGTGTAGAATCCCCTGTTACATTGGTGGTCAGTGTTGAATCCCTCCTTATATTTGTGTTCAGGTAGAATCCACCTTACATTGGTGGACAGTGTAGAATCCCCCTTACATTGGTGCTCAGTGTAGAAGCCCGCTTACATTGATGGTCAGTGTAGAATCCCACTTACAGTGGTGGTCAGTTTAGAATCCCCCTTATATTGGTGGTCAGTTTAGAATCCCCCTTATATTGGTGGTCAGTTTAGAATCCCCCTTATATTGGTGGTCAGTTTAGAATCCCCCTTATATTGGTGGTCAGTTTAGAATCCCCCTTATATTGGTGGTCAGTGTACAATCCCTTTTTACATTAGTGGTTAGTGTAGAATCCCCCTTATATTAGTGGTCAGTAAAGAATTCCCCATTACATTGGTGTGGAACCCCCCCACCTTACAATGGTGGTCAGTGTAGACTCCCCCCTTATATTGGTGGTCAGTGTAGAACTTCCAATTACATACAGGCAAAAGATTTCCAGCTTTACTGTACATTATTCAGAATTCTCATTCACAGTGTGATGACTCCTAGCTAGTTTTATTACACAGGATTTTTGCCACCTTTAGCCCATCAGCAGCCACAACATTTGTTGCAGAACGGTCAGTGTCACATAATGTTTTCTAAATATTTTATTCCAAATGTGTTTGCAGTGTAATTGGTGTGTATCACTGTATTCTCTGCAAGAGCTGTTGGGTTGCCGCACTTTAAATCGACTGTATGAACTAAGGCTGGCCATACAAGTGTAGATTTCTCTTGTTCAGCCTGGGGGCTGATTGAGAGAAGTCACCTGATTCCCCAATCCACGCTAAAGAGTGCAGTTGAAGGAATCTCCTCTAAAAACTATTGTATTCAGAAAGCCACAGCACCCACAGCTGCCTGAATGCCTGAACATTTGATTGGATGCAGTCACTATCCAGACAATACTAATCCACCAGTTCCTTTGATTCTAAAAACTGACTATTGTCGAGCCAGGTGATGCAGACAGGGCAGCCCACAGCTCACATTTGAGCCTTTTATGGTCAGTTTATATGTTTTAGCTAGCTAAATAAATACATCAAAATGTTTGTATCTTCTTGGCTGTATTTCTGTCCTTCTTTTTAACAAAAACTCCTATATGCATAGTATTTTTAAAATTAAATTGTACAACATGGTAGCAATATACCGTTCCCCTTTTACATAAATGCCCTTCCCCTAAATAAAGTACATTCTATACCTAAAATGGCGTGTTGGATGCACAGCAAAAAAGGTTTCCCTGGAAATTATAGCTTATAGCGCTTTTAAAATCATTTTGGGGCTCATGGGCACATAGGCTTATTAAACTACTGCCATCTACCCTTGATGCAAAGCTGGCAGAAAAATTTTGCGTAAAAACTGTGCATTTGGTGTTTAATTACCTGCCTTAGACAATGTAGACCTGATGACCTTTAAAAGCTTTTAAAGCATTACCGATGGACAATTTGGGATATTGTAGTTTTTTGCTGCATCACAGGAGTGCGCCGTTTTAAGGCTTGACATGTTTGGTATCTGTTTACTCAACACAAGCTCTTTTTTTATATTTTACCAAGAAATGGGTCAAATAAATTGTGTATTTTGTAAGAGTTTATTTTTTGACTGGACATCTGGGTTTTATAAACATTTGCTCCAATATCACTGATCTACAAGGAGAAAACCTCGGAAATGAAAGTAGCTAAATTTTACCAGAATTGGGTCACTAATAAAGGAAAATTAAGTCCTGAGTATTAATTGGCTCCAGTTTCCAAGATACAGCTTCAGGTCAAAATTGCATCAAAATAATTCAAATTTATGAGGGAGATGTGCGATTATGTATCATAGCTTTTCTGCAAAATGTGATATAGCAATGAGAATGGTGCCACACCAATCATTATAAATGTATCTTTTTATTGATACCAATAACATAACTTTCCATTCATTTATTGTTTTTTCATGGTTTTTGCATGAAAAACTGACAAGCTTTATCTTTAGATTAAACAGCAAGGTTCCATCTTTATTCGATATCTAAACTGCACTTTTTGGATTTTCTCTTGTGAACTGCAGTAGGATCTTCCCTGGAGAGATTCCAGCAGTAATTGGCAAGCATGGGCAGGCTCCATTTACTTTGATATCTTTTTTCCATGCCTGCGATATCCTAGTAAAATCTCTTCTCATGCTCATCACTCACTGCCCCACAGTTCAAAAGCAAATAGTCTAAATGCGAGTGTAAGAAGTGAATTTTCAGTGACATGTTTGCACCAAATGCTTTATAGGACCTAAGAAAATTTGCCACGTGTCTTTCATAGTCATCTGCCTTGCTATTCGCGAGAAACTCCGTTGCTATGGACTTTTGAATGCTTTCCATGCCTTCTTTTCCTTGCCGCGCAACAGACGATCAAACTTGTCATCTCTGAGAAATTCTTGAATCTGTGGACTGACAAAGACACCTTCATTGATTTTGGCTTCACTAAGTCTTGGAAACTTAACATGGAGATATTGGAAACCTGATTTTGTTTTGTCCATAGCCTTTACAAAGTTCTTCATCAAGCAACATGGCAACACCTTTCAAATCATCCACAGAGTTGCCACTCATGTTCCTCATTCTTTATACACCTCAGCAGCGGTTTTATGTTTTTGTATGTTTATTTCATGTGGACTGCATGCCCAACAGGAACGGATGGTAAAAAAATTGCCATTGGGCAATAAAACAGCTTTTAGACTTGTTTTAGATGAATCTATGAACAATCTCCATTCATCTGGATTGTGGGTGATATTAAGGGCTGTTTTTAAGCCATCGATATCATTGCAATAAACCAAATCACCTTTCACTAAGAAATACTGAACCAGATCTTTTTGGCGATCACGGAAAATGGAGATGCTGACATCACTTTGCAAGAGGTTCCACTGTTGTAATCTGGAGACCAGATCTGCCTTACTCTTAGGCAATTCCAAATCCCTGACCAGGTCATTTAGTTCACTCTGTGAAATTTAGATGTGGTTCAGGAGGAGCATACGGTGGGCTAAAGTTTGGGTCTACTGACATCGATAGTATATATTAGCTGTGTATATTTATAATCTGAAACTATTCAGAGGAAAAAAAAAAATTTGAATGCTAACACGTTTTCAGCTCTTCCCATGTGTATATTAAACATATGTTTAAAAATAACTATACATTCCCTCTATGATATATGGAAAGGAAAATAAGAGAGGCAAATTTGCATAATATGATTGAGGGTATGTTCATTGAAAAACCGTGCCCCCCCCCCCCCATC